GGAAAAACTTATCTAACAATTGTAGATGCGTTTTCTAAATTAGGACAGGCAATTGAAGTTCGAAATAAATCAACACCGGAAACAATTAGGGAATTAATAAAATAATTTTCATTTTATGGAACACCAACTAAAATAAGTTGTGATCCAGGTTCAGAATTTAACAATGTATTAATGAATAAACATTGGCATTTTATAAAATTAACCTTCATATAGGAACGCCAAACAATCCTAACTCAATGGGAATAGTAGAAAGTTTTCATTCTACAATAATTGAAACTTGCAGATTAGCTAAATATGAACAAAAAGTAAGTGACGCAGCAACTGTAATGGCTTATGCTATAATGGCTTACAACAATACTTTTCATTCAGCCACATGCTTAAGTCCTTTTGAAGTTGTATTGGCTCATTCTGACGTAAATATGGTATTTAATAGTGATTTTCAAAAAACAAATGTTGAATAAATGATGAAGGATCATGCTAAGAGAACTTCATAGTTATATAAATATATTTCGGAAAAACTCCGTAATGAGAAACTTTATCGCAGTAAACCAGGTGATAAAATTAATTTAGAAATAGGTGATGAAATCTATACTAAACTCGTTAATAAACTTAAAGGGAAGGATGAACCCCTTTATGAAAAAGCTCAGGTAATAGGTGAGGTTGAACGAAATGTAGTTCCGATCAAAATCGGGCAGAGGGAAACAACAGTCCTCATTAAAAATGTCAAAAGACCTGAGAAAACTTTTGAAGAACCTCGCGATCTAAAATCATTCAAACCCTTAGAAAAGCCTGATCAAGAACCTAGACCTTCGATGAGTAATGAACCAGTAGAGCCTAAACCTTCAACTAGTAACAATGAACCCGTTTCATTAGAGCCTAGGCAGTCGTCAACGAGCAACAATGAGCCGTTGAGGAAAATAACCAATACTGTAGGTGAAATTGCTTGGATATCGTGGGTGGCCTTACCAAATAACTTTATAAAGTTTGCAACAATGAATAATGAGTAATAATAAATTATATTAATAAATTCGCTAGTAAGTGACAAATGAATAATATAACAAATGATTAATGAATTCGCTGATAAATGGAAAAATGAAATGTATAAAATAACACTAAATGTGTATTTTATATGAAACGCATAATGAATAAATTGTATTATGAAATGTGTAACACAAAATGTGTAACAAATAACACAAAATGCGTATTTTATATGAAACGCGTAACGAATTTTTATGAAATGTGTAACAATTAACACATAATAATATGAATGTTACTATGAAATGTGTAACGAATTATCACAGTGTGAATTTTATGAAAATGTAAGTGTCTGTATTTGACTAATCGTCTAAATGACGGAAGAACTAAGATTCAAAATGAAATATTGTGAATTATTATCAATTATTGTAAAAGTTTTATTAAGAGTAACTAGTCGTCCCTATCGTTGTGTCAAACGATAAGAAGAACTTTAAAGTTCAGAAGGATATTATATTATATTACATTATACTAGCTCTTAAGCTAAAATGTATTAAAATGTATAATTTTATAGATGTTATATGAAATGTAATCGATTAATTATGGTGTAGGGATTTGAATTGTATTCTTCAATACTTAAAATATGGTGTAAAACAACATATGAATTGTAACACTATTATTATTTTACAGTATATGAATTGTATTGTTCAATACTTTTAATATTTTAATTAGGGTAAGCTTATAATTCAGCACCCCATTATGCTGAGTAAAAACCACTTTATTGTTCATACATTTTTATTGTAATTAACACATTTATGCATAAGCATCGATAAAGTTCTCTACCGGTATAATGTAATCTGGACAAAATTACACCAAATTTCAATTATTCATTTAGGTAATTTTGGTCTTAAGGAGGGAGGAGTTGTGGTGACACCATAATGTGGCCTCCATAAATCATAATTAATATTATTTTAATACCAGTTTAACTTTCAAATGTCACCGGTCGTAAACTTTTTATTACCTAGTCGCGATATGCGAATGCCGTGCCTTATCTCGTTTCTATGATTTATAAGTCCTTGATAAGGTACCAAGATTTTACGACCGTAGAAAATCTGGAAACTCTTAGAAAATCACGTAGAGCCAACTTATCGATTTAGTATTAAACACTGATCAGAATNTGGTGACCCATAAGCGGCCTCCATAAATCATAATTAATATTTTAATATATTTTAATTTAATATATTTAATATCAGTTTAACTTTCTAAATATGTATGGTGACACGGTCGTAAACTTTTTATTACTTAGTTGCGATACGCGAATACCGTGCCTTATCTCGTTTCTATGATTTACGAGTCCTAGATAAGGCACCAAGATTTTACGACCGTAGAAAATCTGAAAACTCGTAGAAAATCACGTAGAGCAACCTTATCGATTTGGTATATAAGCACTGGTCAAGACCAAGAGATTCATTCTACCAGCGGTCTCGGACTAGTAAAGTACTCTAGCCCTAAGTTGTCATTTTTGTATTTTAAAAGTATTAAAATTAACTTTTCACCGTATTACGCTGTTTCGATTCGTATAAAGCCTGCTCCATCTCTTCGATAAACCGAACGATCGGACTCGACGGTTAACTAGGTAGATATTTATTTTTGTTTTGTGAGTCCACATAAATATTACTAATAATAATAAATGTAATTGTAAAAAAAAATTTTTTTAATTAAGAAAGAAATATAAACGTAAAAGATGATTTATTGTTTATACATCTGTCTTTATACAGCAGTGGACGTCATTCGGCTGAGATGAACGAAAGAACATCTGTATAACATAATCTACTAATATTATAAATGCGAAAGTTTTGATGTCTGGATGTGCAGACAGACAAACATCCAGATGTTTGTTACTCTTTCACGTAAAAACCACTAAACGGATTGTGATGAAACTTTACAGTATTATTGTTTAGTCTAGGCCCAGACCATCGATTTTTCGTCGGCCGATAGTTTACTCGGGCAGTTGATCAGTATGGTCATGTATTGAAGTGCGCACAGTACACCGATTTGAATTGGCCGATTTTTCATACAATTTAAAATCGGGCACAACTATCGGCCAACAAAAAATCGGTGGTCTGCGCCTAGTCTTATAACCCAGAATAACATAATAGGCTATAATTTATGACGATCTGTGACAAAATAAATTTCACGCGGGTGAAGCCGCGGGCAAAAGTTAGTAGCCTATATTTCGTAATGAAATTAATTTGACAAACTAAATTTCACGTGGATGAAGTCGTGAGCAGATGCTAGTAAACTTATAGTATTTCTTGATGTAGTTTCCATTGAGATATATTAATTACATCACGGACCCTCTACTAAACTAACTCTATCGGTATTTAAGTTTAGTGTGGTAGAGTTACTGGCTCTCAAGTTTGCTAGGTTATTCAATATTGCGTATTAAACTATCCTGCATCCAGATGCAGGTCCAGACCAAAGGTACCCAAGGTTTTGTAGATCACTTGCTTTGTTTTTCTGTTTAAATCGTGTATACCATTCATAGGAATTTTTAGTTCGTGATGAGGTAAAAATCAAAAATAGAAAAAATCTTGCTCACCTATCCCAAGGACCCCAAATTATTTTTTGGGTTGTATGTACAATGTAGAGTATCACAAATCATAGAAGTATAGTCATTTGGCATTAAAGTAACATAGACTGATAAGAATTTTGAACCCTTAGCTTAAGAAAAAAAAGCTCAAAATTATTCTGCATCCGTATCTGTACTTAGTCCTCAAACAGAAAAAGTTTAGATGGCTTATCAGGTTTACGTGAGGAGTTTACATTTTATAATTAAGGGCAATGTGAGCTTCTAGTGCAATAGTATCTTCCTTAGTGTAATAGTACCTTAAAGGCCGGCAACGCACCTGTAACGCGAGACTGCGGCCAAGCGGGTGTCTATGGGCGACGGTAATAACTTACTATCAGGTGATCCGTTTGTTCGTTTGCCTCCTGTCACATAAAAAAAATAGTGAGAGAACTAAACATTAAGGGCATAGCACACTTATCAACCCGGAAAGGGATCAACGTGCTGTCAAACGAGGCGAGGCGTTTACGTTACGGTGCGGATAAGTGTGCATTGCAGTACGTACATACAAAGAATACTGACCGCCTCGAGTTGATACCGTTACGATCCGTTTGCGGGTTGATAAGTGTGCTTCGTCCTTTGATGTCACATTTAATTTCTGACGCATTTCCTCAAACTGGGTAATGGATTAGTGTCATCCTTATAGTTTTAACCTCATTCATAAAAGTTTTATAACGTCAAAGAAAGTGGAAGGAAGACCGTGATAGTGATGTAGAAAAGTCGATATCGATGGTCATTGTTCGAGAAAGTTCTTAAATTATCTTTATCCAGTTGTACCATTTTTGTACTTATTTTATGTGCAATAGCTGAACTTCTAATAAGCTGGCATTTTTTACCGTATTTTGTGTATCCAGGAACTATGGATACTACAAAATTCTAATATAAACTCATTATAATCGAAATCTTAGTACATAGTCTGTGTTGCTGGCAGTTTGGCCAGCAATCTTCTTTTGATATTTTATGGATTTTTATTTTTTTAAATTTTTTTTTATGGATTTTGAAGTTGCTTTTTCACTGTCTCTTGTCTATTTTAATGTCTTGAGCAAATAAACTCTTTTGGCCCTTTTGGAGATTTTCCTTACATAGCTTCTTGCATCCATTCCAGCAGGCCTATCTCAGTAATATAAGTACAGTCCACTCCATCAGCTATTAACAGTATGTATTACAATGTGTCGCAAACAATCGAGAATATCGTATTGACTATTTACCATCGACAATATTATTAAAATCATCATTTTTTATTTTTATTTTAATTTAATTACAAGGTTAGGCTTATAATCTAACATTTCTNTGGCGCAGTCGGTAGGATCGCGTCGTGGCTTACTTCGGATAGTGAGCATTCGTTTCAACGAATCAAATACGATCGCGACCTCCATCAAATAAATAATTTAACCTGAAGAAACGGCGAATCGAAGAAACTCAACCCAAGTTCGACGACGCAACGTCAAGGCAACTCAGCGAGCCAGCCAGCCGAGCGCACCGCGAGCCAGCCAGCAGAGCAGCCGCAGCGGGTCAGCACAGAGCAGCCGCAGCCCAAGGACAACGCCGAGAACAAGTCTTTTGACGACCGGGTGAGCTAAGGAAGCAGAGCTACAGCGACGACAGCAACGGTACAATTTTAATTTTGACTTCCCTATTCCCGATGGTAGAATCGGTTGGGTAATTAATCTTACAATTATCCATCCTTAACATTTTATTTTTTCGTTTGTATTTTATTTTTGTTTTAATGCACAGACACCACCTCCATTGTAACAGAGGAGACGAAAGGGTGTGGTTACGCGCAATTTTATCACTGATATATACTTTACTCAAAAAGTTATCAGATCTTTATAATTATTATATGCAAGTGTTGATGCAAGCGGAACACCACCGCCAAGCATAATTTTATTTAAGATCGGAAAATATAGGTTTTGAATAATTTTGTAAAAGCTTCGAATCAAGATCGGAAAATATAGGTTTTGAATTTCTTAGCAGAATTAAAATTATAAAGCGAATTTCATTGTAAAGCGAATTTCTATTGAAAAGTGAATTATTTTGAAAGTGAATTAATTGAAAAGTGAATTAAATTGATTGTTAAGCGAATTATTTGAAAGTTAATTAAATTTATTGTAAAGCGAATTATTTGAAAGTGAATTAATTTTGAAAGTGAATTAATTTTGTAAAGCGAATTAATATTGTAAAGCGAATTCAACTTTAAAAATGGTTACTATTACGGCTATACCCCAGGAAATGGTCAAACTTATTCCAATTTTTGATGGCGATTATAAGCAATTGAATTTATATTTGCAAAAATGCGAATTTATTCTTTCTCACTTTAACGAAGGAGGTGAGCAAGACCTTTTTAATCTTCATGTTCTAACTAGTCGTTTGGCAGGAAGAGCAGCCACTTTAATAAGTGAAAGACAAAATATTACCACTTACGAAGAATTAAAAGCGTTATTGACTCAACATTTCGGTGATCCTAGATCTGAAGGATGCATTGCAATTAAATTAGAATCAATGCAGATTAGACCTAAGGAAAGATATTTAGATTTTTGTCATCGTATTCAAAGTGTACGAAGTAATTTAATCGCCAAGGTCAACTTGATCACTGATAAGGCTCTAAGGGAGAGTAAAACGCGAATATATGACAATACGGCATTCAATGTTTTTCTGTATAATTTATCGGAAGATTTGGTGCGAATCGTTAGATTAAAAGCTCCATCCACTTTAGAGGAAGCATTAGAAATTGTATTAGAAGAAGAAAACTTCTATCAACAGTATAGTTTAAGGCAAAAAGATAAGAAAGTTGGAAAACCAAATTTTAATAAATCAAACTATACAACCCAACTANTAGGTATCTGTCCTGTAAGTGCCTATTCAACCTCGCCTTAAAAAGGCCCGGGTCATAGTATTCGGGAAAGACAGCAGCATGCAACGAATACAATTATAAATTAATTTATTATGGTGTTTTTTTACATTATCAAAGCTCAAAACAAAATTAAAATTAAATTAAAATAAAAAAGCGGACCTAATGCTGTATGCAAAGGATTTTATAAAATTTATTTTGTATGAAAATTAAAAAAAATAACATCATGATATCAAACTGACTTCACCATACCATTTATATGCCCATGTTAACATGGGCTAGTGTCGGCTCATATACCCATTTACCTAACACCCTGTATAGTAATTTTAGTACGAGTAGCTTTGATATCGATAAAATGGCAAAATAGTGACGTTGTAGCTTCTTTACCATAATATAATCTATGGCCTCTCCAATAACTAGTCGGAAAAACCTTTGAAGTCAACCTAGGAAGAGTTTATGAATTTTAACTCTTTCATTAGAACGCAGATAAGACCTAGCCTCAGAACCAGTCCTTGAGGCGCCTAATTGGAGGGTAGACGGACTCGTTACGTTACGGCGGCGATTCGTTCCGCCAACGTTTGAATACATCTGTATGGGGACCACAACTTTTGTGGTATTAGAGACTGACAAAATACTTATTATTTTGTTTCGTTTTTAACACGATCATTTCCAAAAAAAAAAGTAGCAGCTCATCTATACTTACGAGCAAAAGTATAATATGGAATCACCCCGTTGTGTTTGGTTCCAAGCCATCATAAGAACTGAATGACTATGTATGTATCTATAGTATCAATTTAAAGTATTAAATATTACCTTTAAAATAGTACCATTTTTATTTATCTTCTTACGGTCGCTCGGAACAAGTAGAGCCATACTTTTGCTCGCGAGTGTAGAACAGTTTCTTTTTAGACCTAAGTTAATAAAGCAAAGATTTAGTACATAAGCCCTCAATGTTATTGTTTGTTGCCCCAAATAAAGAGAAAAAAAAAAGATTAATGTAGAGAGAAGAATACAGGCTAACTCTAAGTAGTAAGTGTAGTCTCTAATAATAATAAAATCATAAAATTAATTTATTTTTGCAAATAGGCTTTTAAAAAGCACTTTTACACGTCCCAATGTCAGATTGCCAGATGTCAATTGTCAGATAAGTTGATAAAATAAATTGATCGTATAGGAATTCAGGCGTGAAACATTTTTCTTTTGTCATATGAGCGCTGAAATAATGTTTTTGAATACGTGCAGCTTAAAAGCGTTTCGTAAAAAACGACGCACATTTTTTGGCTTCATGCGCAAAAATCCTAAAAAATACCGTTATTTTAGTCGCCCCAGTGGAGCTGTGAGCCGCGCGTAAACGCCGCTTTAAAAATTCAAATATCGCCGTAACGTTTCCGACCACTTGACCTGCCGCAATAGTGATGGGAAATAATACCGTTATTTGGTAACGTTTACAATATTTCAGTATTTATTATATTTAGATCAGCAAATATATTAATTTATAACAATCAATATTAGATTCTTTCATATGTTTCTACTTGAGTGCTGCTCCTGAAGTGGAAACTAAAGACCAGTGCTCCTTTTCTTCTACGCTAACATTAGAAGAAAAGATTTGATTATTTGTTTGTATTGAGCTGGCTTAGAATCCTTACGCTCTGTAAGCTTACATTACAAGTGTTATGTACTAATAAATAAATTCCCTGATGAACATAGATATCATTTAATATATTATTTTTTATTGAGTAAGTTGGTTATGAAATAAAAGCTTCTAATGTTTTTTATTTAAAAGCAATAGTCAAATACCTGTCAAAATTGGTCCAGCTATTTTTGAAAGATAACTAAGTTAAGTACCGCATACAATTAAACACACCGGTTATCTTTAGACTAGGCGCAGACCGCCGATTTTTAGTTGGCCGATAGTTGGGCCCGATTTTAATTTGTATGAAGAATCGGCCAAATCAAATCGGTGTACTTAATGTGCGCACTTCCATACATGCCCATACTGATCAACTGCCCGACTAAACTATCGGCCGACTAAAAATCGATGGTTTACGCCTAGGCTTATAGTTACGATTTAAATCAGGTGGTGCAACTCAGACTTAATGTTTTAAATAAAGTCGTAACCTAATGTCCATTTTAAAAATACCGTTATTTTTTCCCCTCCCTGGCCAAGTCATTACGGTGGCACTGCCTAAGTCAAACAACTCTGCTTGCGATGGTTTTCAATACGCGAGGGCGGGCGGCGTGGGGCGAGCGGCAATTAAAATGCCGCCGTTCTAAACGGAACGCTGGTCACAGACTTAACCTCTTGCTCAGTATTAACAGTTAGTCGATTATCACACTGCACCGCGCTCCGCCGTGGTCCGCGTGTCGACATAATTATAACGAATCCCGCGCACAAACGCGTTGTTAGTATGTTGTGCCGCGCTTGTTTTCTATACAAAGTGAGGTACTTGCATATAATGATTAAATCTGTCGTCCCGCGTACCGCGGCGGAGCGCGGTGCAGTGTGATAATCGCCTTAATATGCGTGTTGAATATTAATTTCAAAAGATATTTGTAATAGTATACGTCTCTTCAGAAGTTAATGCTTAACGCGTGAATAAATATAGGTAACTACTGTAACTACGGACCGTTGGTCAGATTCTTAACTCCTTGCTTAGTATTTACAGTAACTCAATATTATGCATCATCATCATCACAGCCACAGGACGTCCACTGCTGAACATAGGCCTCCCCCAATGACTTCCACATCGCACGGTTGGTAGCGGCCCGCATCCAGCGCCTTCTTGCTACTTTTATCAGGTCGTAATATTCATGTTGAACATTTTATTTCAAAAGATATTTCTAATAGTAAACGTCACTTAAGAAATTAGTGTTTAACGCGTGAATAAATATAGGTAATCAAAATCAAAATCAAAAATATTTATACAGTTTAGACCACAAGTGGCACTTATGATATTATTATATAACTACGGGACGCTGGTCAGAGACTTTACCCCTTGCTTAGTATAAAGTTATAAACAGTAACTTAATATTAATTNCCCAACTACCTCAGAGCTCATGGCACCCCCGTCATCCAAATTACGGACAGAACAGGGCTCCACAAAATCAATTTAATAGGGCTCCACTAAATCAATTTAATAGGGCTCCACTAAATCATTTTAACAGGGCTCCACAAAATCAATTTAATAGGGCTCCGCAAAATCAATATAATAGAGGTCAATTTAACAGACCGCAATCATTGAATAATTATCGGTATCAGCAGTCTCAAACTTCGAGAAATTTTGACCAATCGAACCGCTTACAAAATGCAAGGTCAATGATGACGCCCATACCGGAAACCAACGGTAACAACTCACTGACCCAGCAACCTTTGAATTGCTTAAATATGCAAGGTGTAGACGAAGTTGATAATAATATGGACATGCCGTCCACTTCTTATACAAAGCCTAAAGTGAATTTTCACGTAAAAGCCTCAACTTCAGCACAGAGATAGGAGTCATAAAATCTAAATTACCTTATATTAGGATCGAGCAATTTAATGCGAATTTTATGATAGACACAGGGAGCGCTAGATCTTTTATTAGTTCAAAATTAGTAGAAAAATATTTCCCAAATGAAATTAAAAATGAAACTTTTGAAATCGTTAGTACACATGCTCATAGTAAGCATAACGGGTGTGTACCAATATCATTTAAAAATATATTTGATATAGACGAAATACATAAATTTTATATATTTGATTTTTCACCGGAATATGATGGATTAATAGGAATTGATTTTATGTCACGACTTGGAGTTGAATTAGATTTGAAAACTTATAAATTCAAAATTGGAAACTTAGTCTTATCCATAAGATTTAATCCTCAGTTTAAACCCATGCGTTTAGTTTTACAACCGCATTGTTCGCAACTTGTCAAAGTTCCCACCGATTTATATAACGGAAAAGGATTTCTACCTTCCGTAGAATTCAGAGAAAAGGTTACGATGCCCCGTGCCTTAGTAACATGTGAAGAAGGTTTCGCGGAAACATTTATTAATAATGAATTGGATAGAGAATTAATTTTGAGCATATTTTATCCATTCGAAATTACGGATGAAACAATCATAAAATCTTTTTATATTAATGATAATTATTTTAACAATGAAGATCAACTTTTAACACAAAATTTAATTAAATTGCGATTAGATCATATTACAAATTTAAATGAAAGGGATGAATTAAATAATTTATGCTATGAATTTCGGGACATATTTTATTGCGAAGGATTACCATTATCGTTTACGCATGAAATTAAACACTGTATTCGTACTAAACATGATAATCCAATTTTTGTCAAAGCCTATCGACAACCACCAGCTCAAACAGCTGAAATTAAGTCTCAAATTGATAAATTACTTGCAGATAATGTAATTCAACCTAGTTTTTCACCTTGGAGTGCACCAGTTCATTTAGTATCGAAGAAATTGGACGCTTCAGGAGAACAAAAATATAGAATGGTCGTGGACTACCGCAAATTAAATGAAATAACGGTAGATGATAAATATCCACTTCCCAATATAAATGATTTATTTGATAAATTAGGCAACAGTACATATTTTACGACCCTAGACTTAGCTAGTGGCTATCATCAAATCGAGATAAAAGAGGAAGACATACCGAAAACTGCTTTCTCAACACAATTTGGTCATTACGAATTTAAAAGGATGCCATTTGGTTTAAAGACGGCACCAGCTACATTCCAAAGGACGATGGACAATGTATTAAAAGGTCTCCAAGGGGAGCATTGTCTAGTTTATTTAGATGACATAATTATATTTTCAAATAGCTTTATTGACCACATTAAAAAGCTTAAAATAATTTTTGAAACGCTAAAAAATGCTAATTTAAAAGTCCAATTGGATAAGTCAGAATTTCTAAAGAAAGAAGTATTATACTTAGGTCATACAATTACGAAAGAAGGTCTTAAACCTAACGAGGACAAAATTAAAGCAATTCTAAATTACCCAATTCCCAAAACTACTAAGGAAATAAAATCATTCTTAGGATTGATAGGATACTATAGAAGATTTGTTAAAGATTTTGCAAAAATCACTAAACCGTTAACCCATTGCCTAAAGAAAAACCACGCAGTAAGGTCAAAGGACGCTGACTACGTGAAAGCATTCGAAACCTGTAAGGAACTGTTAGTTAATGCCCCATTGTTACAGTTCCCGGATTTTACAAAACCGTTCGTTTTAACAACTGACGCTTCGAACATTGCGTTAGGTGCGGTTTTATCGCAAGGAAGTATAGGTCAAGATAAGCCAATTGCTTACGCGAGTCGAACACTTAGCGACGCGGAAACTAAATACAGTGCAATCGAAAAAGAGCTTTTAGCTGTATTATGGGCAACTAAACATTTTAGACCATATTTATATGGAAGAAAATTTTTAATTTACACTGATCATAGGCCTTTAGTATGGTTATATTCTCTTCAAGAACCTAATAGTAAATTAACGAGATGGAGATTACGTTTACAGGAATATGATTTTGAGATAATATACAGAAGTGGAAAGCAAAATTCAAATGCTGACGCACTTTCTCGGATTAGATTAAATTATACTCAGGTAAATGACTCGACAGCCGCCACAGACGGTGATGACTCTCGATCTATTAGTTCAGTAGATTCCGCAGAAACACTGACAGCATCAGAATCCGACAATGAGTCACAAACATTTAGAGTTGACGGTATTCCTATTTTAAACGAGGCAATTGATAGTAAACCTTATCAAATTATTATTATTCGTTGGTATAAAAATGAAATAAAAATTAACGAAAAGTCACGCGATAAACAGAAAATTATTGAAGTTAGATTACCAATTGATAACGAAGATTTAATTAGACAATTTTTAAAGGATAATATTCCAAATGATAAAAGAATTTTTATATTTTACGATCATAAAGAATTTAGGAAATCATTCTCTAAAATTTACCTTGAATTGTATAAAAATAATCCCGTACAAATTTTTGAATGCACGGAACGTGTAATTTATTTAGACGATGAAGATGCACAAAAACAGTTAGTACAAAATTATCACGAAGGAAAAACATGTCACAGGGGAATTAAAGAAACGCTTATTAGAATTAAAAGAAATTATTATTGGCCGAATATGGCACAAACAGTAGCAACAGTAATTAACTCTTGCGATTTATGTAAACGTATGAAATACGATAGACACCCCATTAATCCTGAAACTTTGATAACGCAAACACAATCTAAACCATTTCAAGAGATTTTTATAGATTTATTCTCTATTGAAGGAAAAACTTATTTAACAATTGTAGATGCATTTTCTAAATTAGGACAAGCAATTGAAGTTCAAAATAAATCAACGCCGGAAACAATTAGAGCATTAATAAAGTACTTCTCATTTTATGGAACACCAAATAAAATAAGTTGTGATCCAGGTTCAGAATTTAATAATGCATTAATGAAAGAAACATTGGCATTTTATAAAATTAACCTTCATATAGGAACGCCAAATAACCCAAACTCAATGGGAATAGTAGAACGTTTTCATTCGACAATTATTGAAATTTATAGATTAGCTAAGTATGAACAAAAGGTAAGTGACGCAGCAACTGTAATGAATTATGCTATAATGGCTTATAACAACACTATTCATTCAGCCACAGGCTTAAGTCCTTTTGAAGTTGTATTTGCTCATACTGACTTAAATTCGGTATTTAATAATGATTTTCAAAAAACTTATGTTCAACAAATGATGAAGGATCATGCCAAAAGAACTTCATATTTATATAAATATATTTCGGAAAAGCTCCGTAATGAAAAACTTAATCGCACTAAACCAGGTGATAAAATTAATTTAGAAATAGGCGATGAAATCTATACAAAACTCGTTAATAAACGTAAAGGGAAGGATAAACCCCGTTATGAAAAAGCTCAGGTAATAGGTGAGGTTGAAAGAAATGTAGTTCCGATCAAAATCGGGCAGAGGGAAACAACAGTCCCTATTAAAAATGTTAAAAGACCTGAAAAGACTTCTGAAGAATCTCGCGAGTTAAAGACGATCAAACCCTTAGAAAAGCCTGATCAAGAGCCTAGACCTTCGACGAGCAATGAACAATTAGAGCCTAGACCTTCAACTAGTAACAATGAACCTGTATCATTAGAGCCTAGGCAGCCGTCAACGAGCAACAATGAGCCGTTGAGGAAAATAACCAACACTGTAGGTGAAATTGGTAAATTTCTTGGATATCGTGGGTGGCCTTACTAAATGATTTTAAAATGAATAATTGAATTCGCTAATCAAAGTAATAAATGAATTATCCAATTCACTGTTACGGGTAATATTAATAAATTCGCTAGTATGTGAAAAATGAATAATAATTATTGAATTCGCTGATAAAAGGAAATATGAATTGTATTATGTATAACAAATAACACTAAATGTGTATTTTGTATGAAACGCGTAATGAAATGAAAATTATATGTATAACACGAAATGTGTATTTTATATGAAACGAGTAATGAAATGAAAATTATATGTATAACACGAAATGTGTATTTTATATGAAACGCGTAATGAAATGAAAATTGTATGTATAACACGAAATGTGTATTTTATATGAAATGCGTAATGAATTTTTATGAAATGTGTAAATTAACACATATATTTGAATGTTGCTATGAAACGTGTAACGAATATCACAAAATGTGAATTTTAATATGAAAATGTAAAAGTGTGTATAATTGACTAATCGTCTAATGAATGACGTCAGAACTAAGGTTCGAAATGAATTATTATGAATTATTGTCAAAATGAATTATTATTGAATTGAATTAATATGAATTACTGTAAAAGTTTTATGAGTGACTAGTCGTCCCTATCGTTGTGTCAAACGATAAGAAGAACTTTATAAGTTCAGAAGCATATATCACATTATATTAGCTCCTAAGCTAAAATGTATTCAAATGTATTTTTATATAGATGTAATCAATTTATGGTGTAGGACTTGAATTGTATTCTTCAATACTTTTAATATTTTTATATGGTGTAGGGTTAGCTTATAATTGAGCACCCCATTATGCTGAGTAAAACCATTTTATTGTTCATAATTTTTTATTAACACATTTATTAACATTGTATAACGAAACATGTATTTAATATATAATTGTATTATGTTAAAATTATGCATAAGCATCGATAAAGTTCTCTACGGGTATAATGTAATCTGGACAAAATTACACCAAATTTCAATTATTCATTTAGGTAATTTTGGTCTTAAGGAGGGAGGAGTTATGGTGACCNATTTTGATTTCACACTTTTGACAGATTTTTTGCAGTCAAAAAATGTTTTGACTGATTCTAAGTATTAACTGCAATAATTACCTACACCATTTTACTTTGCTTGTCCACTTCCTTCCAAACAATTATTTGACTGTGACTATTACTAACCTAGTTTAGGCTAAAAAACACTATGACCTATGTATTTAAACACTAGCATAAAAAGTTATTATAAGGCTCTTCTCTCATGAATAAACAATTTATTTATTATTTTTCTCCAGAACAAATCGACGCCACAGCTGTCAACGCGCAATACTCGGCTTCGATCATGGAGTGTGCCAGTGCGAGTGACAGTGACTGTGACAGCGTGACGTTGGGTCCCGACGGCACCATACGAGAGTGCGACAGTGACAGCGATGAGGCGCCTTGCGAGACGCAGCCTCTGTGGTGAGTATAGTGACAGCGATTGTCAACACACACTAAGGAGCTGTGACAGTGACTGTGACAGCGTGACGTTGGGTCCCGACGGCACCATACGAGAGTGCGACAGTGACAGCGACGAAGCGCCGTGCGAGACGCAGCCTCTGTGGTGAGTATAGTGACAGCGACTGTCAACACAGACTAAGGAGCTGTGACAGTGACTGTGACAGCGTGACGTTGGGTCCCGACGGCACCATACGAGAGTGCGACAGTGACAGCGATGAGGCGCCTTGCGAGACGCAGCCTCTGTGGTGAGTGTAGTGACAGCGACTGTCAACACACAGACTAAGGAGCTGTGACAGTGACTGTGACAGCGTGACGTTGGGTCCCGACGGCACCATACGAGAGTGCGATAGTGACAGCGATGAAGCGCCGTGCGAGACGCAGCCTCTGTGGTAAGTATAGTGACAGTGACTGTCAACACGGACTAAGGAGCTGTGAAAGTGACTGTGACAGCGTGACGTTGGGACCCGACGGCACCAAACTAGAATGACAGCGTCAGATGTAGATTACGTGACAATGTGTGATCAAGGATGTCAAATAGACGTCCAAGTGACAAGGGACAAATAAGCAAACATCACAAGGGCCTAGTGTGAGTTTACATCAAACGCGCTCACTAGTGAGCACGTCCAAAAATGACATTATGTATGACAGATTGTACAGGGAAAACGTTCAAAAACTAAAATTTTCATACATTTTTTAAATACTTTTTAATACTTTTGATGTACTTACACTCAGCCCACAGGCCTTCCGCAGCCCATGCATTTGTCATCAGTAATCGTAAAACGGCAAATTGTACTAAAAGTTGTCTACAAGACATGCCTAATCTAGCGTAGAAATCTATGTAACTTTAGCATAAATTTTATTTATCTAAGGTAGCGTAACCTGCATCTATTGGAGTTTTAATTTCTCTATATTTTTGTTATAATTATTTGTTTTTTTTTTTTTAATTGGCCTGAAGGTTAACTGGTAGAGTGCTACACGGCATTAAATTCTCCTTTTGTACTGCAATTTTTGTGTGCATGCAATAAAGATTTTAATTTTTAAATAAATAAGTATTTAATTGAAAGTATTAAATTAGTTGTGATCCTGCTGTAGTGACTAAACGATCTTATAATATTCCACAGGCGAGCGGGTGTATACACAGCGGAAGAAGCAGTGTCAGAAGCGAGGTCGGCGCTAGTGTCACTGCAACAAGCCTACACGCGACAGCTGTCAAGATTGAGGGTACTTTTACAAACGCACCGCGGAAACTACCTACGGGCTTTGAAGGCAGAAAAGGAGACTTACTGTAAGTTACCCAGTTTTTGACATAGGGCGAAATGTCCCCCTTAACATTACCCTGCCCCTTTTAAACATTCTCCTGCTCCCTATTAACCCCCTGTCCTTCTTATCAACCCCTGCCCACCCTATGATCCCCCTGCCTTGAGATGTAATGCTCATAAACAAACGCATCGCGGAAACTACCTGCGAGCCTTGAAGGCAGAGAAGGAGACCTACTGTAAGTTACTACTATTGCTATTAGTATAAGATAGCTGCCCCCCTAGCTTCTAAGTTTTCAGAAACCTCCCCCTTTATCCCCTCTATCATTCCCCTACTCCCCCCTATTCCTCTGGCCCCGTCTTTCCCTTGCTTCCCCTTGGTAAGAAGCAGTGTCAGTTAACATTACCCTGCCCCCTTTTAACCATCCTGCTCCCTATTAACCCCCTGCCCTTCTTATCAACCCCTGCCCAAATGTACAAAAACGCGGTCGGTGCTAGTGTCGCTGCAACAAGCCTACACGCGACAGCTGTCAAGACTGAGGGTACTTCTACAAACGCACCGCGGAAACTACCTGCGGGCTTTGAAGGCAGAGAAGGAGACCTACTGTAAGTTACTAGTATTGCTATTAGTATAAGATAGCTGCCCCCTAGCTTCTAAGTTTTCAGAAACCTCCCCCTTTATCCCCCCTATCATTCCCCTACTCCCCTCTATTCCTCTGGCCCCCTGTCTTTCCCTTGCTTCCCTTTGTCCCAGTTCATCTCCTTTGAGTTAACCACGAGTTAGGTTACTTGTTAAGTTACCCAGTTTCTGCGACAGGGGGAAATGTCCCCCTAATATTACCCTGCCCCCTATTAACCCCCTGCCCCCTTTATCATCCCCCTGCCCTTCCTATCAACCTATGCCCACCCTAACATCCCCCTGCCTTGAGATATCTGTTTCCTAGCTTCTGAGCTTTCAGAAACCTGCCTCCCTATCGTCTCCCTGCCTCCTCCAACATCCCCCTACTCCCCCTTATCATCCCCCTGGACCTCTTGTCTTTCCCCTGCTTCCCTTTGATAAGAGGCAATGTTCCACTTAACATTCCCTTGCCCCCTCTATCATCCCCATGCCCCCTATCATTTTTGAAACTGCTGTATAGATGGACTGATGACCTCATAATAAATAATAATAATAAATAATAATAAATATACTTAGACATTTTACACTGCGCTTCTAGTCCCAAACTAAGCAAAGCTTGTACTATGGGTACTAGACAACGGATATAAACATACTTAAATACTTCAAATAATGATGATTAATTTCTTAATTACAGGTAGCATCAACGCTCAAGCCCGCAGCGGTCCTCTAACTGTGCGAGAGAGACGACAACTCCGCAAACTGAAGGCCTACGCGGCACATCATCGACGTCACGGAATGGATGCTGTACTAGCGAGGAAACTGACTCACAAGCGCGCTAAGGTAAGAGGCAATAACCGGGTGTAATATTATCCGGATATCCGGACGATATAACCGATAGTCCGGGCAAGAACGGCCCGATATCCGAGGGAGCTTTTATCCGGATTACAAAGTATAACCGGTTATCCGGATGAGTTTAGATATGGCTATATGGCTACCATTATATCGGGATATCCGGGTAACTTTACCTGGATGGATACCAGCGTCCGGATACTGTCCTGTGTCCGAAAATCCGTATATGTTTATAACCGAGTCCGGATGAATAAACCGCCGAAGTAAACCGGGAAACTTAGTAGTGAATATCAGTATGCATTAACTTGCAAGCGCGTAGCGGTCCTCTAACTGTGAGAGAGAGACGACAACTCCGCAAACTGAAAGCCTACGCGGCACATCATCGACGTCACGGAATGGATGCTGTGCTAGCGAGGAAACTGACTCACAAGCGCGCTAAGGTAAGAGGCAATAACCGGGTTTAATATTATCCGGAAATCCGGATGATATAACCGATAGTCCGGGCAAGATAACGGCCCGATATCCGGGGGAGCTTTTATCCAAATTACAAAGTATAACCGGTTAAAATATAGCTATAGTCTGCTTGTGACCACGGCTGCAGCATAGCAGCCGAAACATCAAGCCGTGAGTATAGAATGTAACCATTAATAAACGTCGCGTTTAGACCCGTGTCTTACTATTTTAGTTGAAATGGAACTCGAAAGTTTAAAATCTTGTATAACCGGTTATCCGGATGAGTTTAGATATGGACATATGGCTGCTATTATATCGGGATATCCGGGTAACTATATTTGGATTGATACCAGCGTCCGGATACTGTCCTGTGTCCGAAAATCCGTATATGTTTATAACCGAGTCCGGATGAATAAACTGCCGAAGTAAACCGGGAAACAGTAGTGAGTATCAGGTAGAATTAACTTGCAAGTGCGTAGCGGTCCTCAAACTGTGCGAGAGAGACGACAACTGCGCAAACTGAAAGCCTACGCGGCGCATCATCGACGTCACGGGGTTGACGCCGTGCTAGCGAGGAAACTGACGCACAAGCGCGCTAAGGTAAGAGGCAATAACCGGGTGTAATATTATCCGGATATCCGGATGACGATATAACCGATAGTCCGGGCAAGAACGGCCCGATATCCGGGGGAGCTTTTATCCGGATTACAAAGTATAACCGGTTATCCGGATGAGTTTAGATATGGCTATATGGCTACCATTATATCGGGATATCCGGGTAACTTTACCTGGATGGATACCAGCGTCCGGATACTGTCCTGTGTCCGAAAATCCGTATATGTTTATAACCGAGTCCGGATGAATAAACTGCCGAAGTAAATCGGGAAACTTAGTAGTGAATATCAGTATGCATTAACTTGCAAGCTCGCAGCGGCCCTTTAACTGTGCGAGAGAGACGACAACTCCGCAAACTGAAAGCCTACGCGGCGCATCATCGTCGTCACGGGGTTGACGCCGTGCTAGCGAGGAAACTGACGCACAAACGCGCTAAGGTAAGAGGCAATAACCGGGTGTAATATTATCCGGATATCCGGACGATATAACCGACTGTCCGGGCAAGATAACGGCCCGATATCCGGGGGAGCTTTTATCCGGATTACAAAGTATAACCGGTTATCCGGATGAGTTTAGATATGGATATATGGCTGCCATTATATCGGGATATCCGGGTTACTTTATCTGAATTGATACCAGCGTATGGACAATAAAACGCTCGAGGTTAACTGAGGAACCTAGTAGCGAATATCAGTATGTATGTCCTCTAACTGTGCGAGAGAGACGACAACTGCGCAAACTGAAAGCCTATGCGGCGCATCATCGACGTCACGGGGTGGATGCAGTACTGGCCAGAAAACTAACACACAAGCGCGCTAAGTTATGTATACGGGACTATTCCCACCTCTCGTTCCCACCGCTGCAACTCCTGTGTAGCCAGGATCTACAGCTTGACCGCCAATAAAAACCAGTGAAGGTCAAGTTTGTCCCGGGGGAAAGTTAAACTGTCATTGGACCCGCAACGAAATTAATCAGAAGATCATAGGAGTTTGTAGTCAAGGTTCGACTTCCCTCCATTGCAAAGCACTTAAAATTAGGTGCGATTGCGATCAAATATCTGCCTTGTTCTGCATTAAAAAAAGCTGGATGAGTTTGTACCCAGTTATCCGGATGAGATTATACCCGAATAACCGGGTGAATTTTTTTCACTATATCAGAATGATTTCGAATCCATATAACCCGTGCCGGGTTACATTTGGTCCGGATATCTGGCTGGTTACTAAATAGACACCACAAGAGCATTAAGGGAATATCTAGATTAGTTTATATTTGTATACAATCTAGGATAGATACTAGAACGTCGAGTGGGATATCGGATATGTATGGGCATTATATCTGGCTGACACTTTGCCCAGTATCTTTACCATAGAATTTTATTTTTACCATAGAAATGACTAATATTCATTTTCAAAAAGAAAAAGTCCAGAAACCAAATTAACTGGATGTCTCGGGTCATTATATCCGGCTGACAATTTATCCGGATAACCGGATTATTTTTACCATACCATACAAATTAATAATATTAATTTTCAAAAACAAAGAAAAAGTACAGTATTTAATTTATTATCATTTATCTTACAGCAAGGCACAGAGCCGTCCAACCGGCCGATACCGTCCCAAAGTCGATGTACTTACACAGAAGAGAGTGTGCGATGCGGGAACCCTGTACTACCGGCTTCTAAGCACTGCCTCAAGCACATCCTGCATGATTCCAACCAGGTGAGAATATCTATTACTAGCTTTTGCCCGCGGCTTCACCCGCGTGAAATTTGGTTTGTCACAAATCGTCATAAATATTATTATTCTGGGTTATAAACAATAAAATATATTGTTTATAATATAACATATATGATTAACATATAGGATATAATTTATGACGATATGTGACAAATAAATTTCAATAAATAAATAAGACGTGTCTAAAAAGCGCCATCTATCGTCATTGGTTAAAATCTACAGCGCTGGACAAACTACTGTTTTTGACGTTCGTAAATTTATGCGGGGGAAGTAGTGAAATGTTAGATATCAACATGATATAGCCGTGCGGCTTTTACCCGTGGTCCCCCCAACATGTCCCCCTGGTGGGTCCACGGGTAATTTTTTTTACCCGTTGTTCCACCGTTCTGAACAGTGTTTGCCAGTGGGTCTACGGGTAATTTATTTTAACCATGGTCCCACCGCACTAAGTGGCAAACATTGCATGTCACCTAGGTATCTATAATATTATAAAAAAATCCATAGATTTATAAAACTTAATTCCTAAGTTCATATTTATTTGAGAATAAAATTTCTAAAATTAATTATAGATTTTTTTATAATATTATAGATACCTGCACCGTACTAAGTGGCAGACATGCAATGTTTGCCACTTAGTGCGGCACTCGCGACTGTGCGACGGGCGGCCGCAGTGAGTGTGCGAGCGCGAGAGCAATATAATTACGCGCGAGCGATAAGGATGGGTAGCTCGGGGTCATTGGACGAAATTCTACGTGCTCACAGACCGGGCTTAAGTGTTGTCTTTTAAAAACAGATACAATTTATTTCAACTCTTGGTGTTAATTATTGCAGGTGCTATTCGTGCCTTGCTCGTCGGCCCGCGGCGTGGGCGCGTGTCGCGAGGCGGTGCCGCTGCTGCCCGCCGCGCCATTGTGTAGATACCACGCGCCCGTGCCGGCACACCAGGTGTTTCACATGCGGGTATGTTAACATTTAAACATTCAGTGATTCGACCCCGTTTCATCCCTTACGATTGAGGCCCAGTTTCCACCAAGGAGCGGTGCGAAGACGAGAGGAAATGTGTGAGCTGTGCGCAACTGTCAGCAGTCAATCTATTGCTAGTATATGAAACACCGCTCATCTCCGCTCTTCTCCGCAATGCGCCATTGTGCCGCTACCACGCGCCCGTGCCGGCGCACCAGGTGTTTCATATGCGGGTACGTTAACATTTAAATATTCAACCCTTTTTCATTCCTCAAGATTTGGTTAAAAAAATTTTTTCGACTCATTTCATCCCCCATGATATGGTAAAATATTTTTGAACCCTATTGCATCCTACACGATTCGGAAAAAAATATTTTCAACCCCCGTTTCATATCCCACGATTCGGTAAAATTATTTTCGACCCCCCATTTCATCCCCAACGATTGGGCAAAAAATATTTTCGACCCCCATTTCATCCCCCCAATATTAAGTAAAAATTCATTCCCCGTTTCATTCATACGCCTGGTAAAAATATTTGTTGAATATACGTTCTAACCCATATCCATTCAGGCAAAATTTCACAATAAAGCTTATTAAAACACTTAACTCTCATTTCATGCCTTTGGATGACACGCGATAAAAACAAACGATTTCAACCTCTATTTCATCCCCTTTGGGGTGAACGTAATATCGTGTTCAATATGCAGGCACGTATTATTAAGCTAATTGATAGGAAAAATATTTCAACCCCCGCTTCATCCCTTTTAAAACAAAATATAAATTGATCAATGTCTTCCGAAAGTATTTTGTGATCTATAAAAATATTTTTAAACCCCACTAGGATCACAAGTAGACTAGTCAAAATTAAACCTTTTAATTGACTCACGAAGATAAATTCAAGCCCCTTGGGATGAAATTAAGTAAAATGTCTCAAAAAAGGTTGGGAAAATTTCCTTATTTAGTTTTCTTTTCAAATCGAAAGCATATAAATAAGTAAATAGTTAACAACATTACGTTATATTTCTCGCAGCAAAAGAAGAAAGACGATGATTCGAGTTCAGATTCGAGGGAAACCGATTCTCCTAAACAGGACGAATCAACTGATGACTAAGTTGTAAGGTGACTCCCATAAAATTAAATGTTTGTTATTTTTTGCCATGATTTTTTTGAATCGGCTTTCTTATTAGGCTTGGTGATTTTTCCATAATTTTCGAATTTTTCTTTGCCATGATTTGGTCGATTTATTGATATTTTTTATTGCTATGGTCGATTTTTTATAATTCGATTCTTTTTGATGATTTTAAAGTATTATTAAGTCATTGATCAACCTTTCATAGCTTCATATTAAACAAATTTTAGTTCTCAAGTGTGCCTGCTTGACCAAATCAGAAAACTAAGACAAATACTTACAGTTTTCGAGAATTATGTACAAAATCGATACTTTTAAGTTTCGTTCGTGGTCTATAAACCAGGCACACTTGAAAAATCTGATGAGAATGAGAAACATATTTAAAAAGTCGTTTTGTCTGTCCTTACCGCTTGCCCTGGAGGAATCCTATTTTTATAGAGACGTCTATGGTAAGTTAATATTATGACCTAAAAGATAATTGAGGTACTAATAGGCGATAGTGACGGAAGATATATTTTTCTTATTTTCGGAAGCGAGGGATAGTTTAGATACAATTTAGCAGATAAATCTATTATTCGATTCGTAATATTGTTGCTGAAAAAAAAAATTGTGTCTCGAAGGCACTGACTGTAGTTATTAGAGGAAATTTCAATGTTTGTATTAAATGAGGATCAAAAATGAACGTTCTCTTTGTCGGTAGTCTGGAAGAGACCGCTTTAAAGCGATAAAGACCGCCTCAATTATGCGTGCCTTTTGTATTTTCCATTCTTGTTTTGTGTGGTGTACAACAAAGTGTTCACCTATCTACCGACATTCTGGTACTTCAAAATTTGGTTTCAACCACTGCATATTCATACAAACATAATAATAATATGTTTTTGGAATAATTCAAAAAATCACAATACTTGAACGGCCCCTTTTTAAAACAAAATTTTATGAAAACTCAAATTAACATAAACATGTTCTTTTCTTTACAGAAAGACGAATCTAAAGACGGCTCAGAGTCCGAGGTGACTTCGGACGCGTCCGAGCCGGGGCCGTCCGAACCAGTACTGTCCGAACCGATACTGTCCGAAATCCCTGCGCGTTCTGCGATCACTTCCGCTGCGTTACAAGACATCATGTTCCAATAATAATGGAAATTGGACGTCATCTTAAAGCATAAACTGCAACAAGTGAATTTGTGAACGGACATTAAAGTGCTCAGTGATAAAAAGTGTGACAAGTGGTGTTGGTTAAGTGGTAGGTAATAGGTATGTTGGAATACAACGTCTTCTTTTTGATTCCTGGAACTCTAGGGTATTAAGACCACTTCAAAGTTCAAGGAATCGAATAGCATATTTTTCAGCCTTATTTTTTCATACATACAAAACTCTGATAAGTATCTTCAAAAATATGCGTTTAGAAATCCATATTCTTAGGACATTTTGACTAGTTTTTATTCATAGAATATACCCCTAAAATTTCAGGAAATCAAAAGGAATATGTTGTATAGTGAGTGTAGAATGTATGGAACAGTAACTGAAAGTAGAGGCCAGTTTTATTGGTTCTTGAATAATGTTCTAATAGGTATAGCATGTCATATTATGACAATAGTTGCTGGTTACAGGTAACTTTATATACCACTAGTTTTTGCCCTCGGTTTCACTCGGGTCAGTGTAATCTTTAAACTCGAGAATAATTTAGCTTCGATTGTTATGTTTAGAGCTTACTCTTTTATTCGTAAAAAAAACACTTGTCGTAGAAACGACATGGACTTAAGAATCTTTAGTGATATAATTAACTTTAAACTAGATTTTAATACTGAATTAAAAATAAATATAAATAAACCAAAGACCTACAGCTGTATACTGTCTCTATACTCATGTGATAACTCTATTATGTATCATTATCAGAGAACAATATTGTATGATGTCCAATCTGGACGAAATAAAAAGCGCTTATGTCCAAATGCACTAAGTATTACTGCTGAAATGCCTTTCATAGATATGTAATGTATGATTGTATTGATAATTCTAAGAATTGATCAATGAATCTGTGTAGTTTCTATTTTCTATCATATAAATATTGATGTTTACTGATGTTTTGATCTGACAGTGAAATAAAGAAATAAAAGACGATTTTATATCCCTAATTCCTGTGTTTAATTTACGAGAGACCTAAAGATCTAAGGACCTAATTTTAAAAAATTGAAACCATATTTTTGTGGTTCCGTTCCTAAAGCTGGGTTGCACCATCTTACTTTAGCTTTAACAAACGTCAAAAATCTGTCGAACTCCATACAAAAAGCACCGGTTATCGTTATAGTTACCGTTAAGAGCCATTTCACAAAAATATTCCGCGCGAATTTAGGTAAAAGCTGTCAACGCAACGTCAAAAGAGTAAAAAGAACGCTGAAATGGACAAAAAAATCTTGAGCCGTGACCGTATTAAGACTTGATTTAAGTTATTAATTTTAAGGTATAATGAGGTATTCAAACTTGATTAATTAATTTAAATTTTTAATAGAGTTTATTAAGTCTTTTATATTTCGATTCATAATGAAACACGAATAGGTATATATGTAAAATATATTAAGTACAAAATAAAGACAGTCACATAGTGAAAAATAAATCTGCCCCCTTACAACTCCATCATCGGACCCTTGATACGTTATATTCGTCAAGGCGAATCACACAAGCCCAAACTCCATAGGGTTCTATTGTTTTGTTACGGAGGTGGCCATTGCATCTCCTCCAGATCCATTATCAGACAGAGCTAAGAAATAAATAAATAAATATTATTATAAGTAAACAAATAACTAAAATAATTCATCTTACTATCTTACTTTTTACTAGTCGTAAAAATGACATTCGTTACTAATATATAATGGTCATTCGTTACTAATATTATAAATACGAAAGTTTGTGTGGATGTCTGGATGTTTGTTACACTTTCACGCAAAAACTACTGAACAGATTTTGATGAAACTTTACAGTACAGTACAGTACTAGGCAGTCTGTGTTCAACTATCACTCGGGTCGGACGTTCCTATCGCAAGACCTTTGGTTCACTCAGTTCCGATACGACTCTAGTGCTGTGTGTAATTATTTTCGTGAATACACTGACTTTATTAATTTCTACGAGTGGATTTCATTTTGCNATCTTTATCTTTAGACTTACTCGTACTTCGTAATTTACATTTACTTCCTTCCGAGGTGACCTCTACCTGTGCCCTTGTCTACCGTCAGAACCGCCCTCATAATAACATTATTGTTGCCTGTTTTAATATTACCGTCTTATTAACGTTGTAATTTTTATTAATCTTTTGTCTTTTGTATAAGCTAATGAGGGTAATATGGGCTTTTTAGACATTATTAAATTTTGGTCTGGAGCTTGGACTTTTTAAAAACACGAGTAAGTACATTACTGATGTTTCATAGTATCGTGGTATTCGAATTGGACTAATTAGATCTTAGAGCTTGAACTTAATATAGAAATTCGATTACCGATACCTTGTTAATGTCAATCAAGAATTATTTTGGTTTACCCGTGTCAAATCAGAGCCTTAATTTAGACAAATGCTAAAGTTATGTTTTCCTAATGACCCGTACCAAGAAACAGTTTATAAAGACGAAAGTAAAGTAATAAAACACACGACGTTAATCATCCGAATTTTGACACCAAGTCATAAGTTTGCCTACAACGTGGGCTCTTCAACAGTTTCACATTTTAAGTGCCCCATATGCGGGCCAGCAATCTTGCTTGTTAGTGATGTGAAAAGTACGTTTGTATCGACTTTTACGGTTATCGTAAAACTGACACCCATTTTTACGATGGAAGATAGGGTAAATTTATTGTTTCCAATTACTGAGAGCTACTACTCCTTCTTTCTTATATTCCGAAAAAATTCAAGAGTCATTAAAAGACATCATTATAAAAATCAGTGGTTTTGATTTCAGAATGTATAAAATATCTCAATTCAATCATTAGGTACAGACACTCTAAAATATCTTGTTAATTATACCACATGCTCACTAATATGTGCCATACAGCGCCTTATTTAATAAAGAAATTATCCTACGCTTCCGGCTAACATCTTTGTTCCATATTGTATCTACAAAGATTCTGAAACACGTTTTAGAACAGCTTTTAAACTAGCCGGTCTACTACATCACTAAAAGTCGCTCCGCTTTCGGCACAGTAGCTTCTCAAGTACAGCCATTGTGTTTAGACCTCCGACCATGGCAGCCAAGACAAATGCTCCGCGCCCACCACTACCGGCTCAAGGAAACATGTTTTGGTTACTTTAGTTGAGTAGCTCAACTACTTAACGTTACTTAGTTATTTTAGCGGTGTGTACACACAGTATATGCCAGAAATAAACAACGTATGTTGATAGAGCCTGGAAATTATTACAGGGATTATCTCCAAAGCGACGCATATGCTGCGGGATATTATGAAGGCGTAAAACGTGTAGGAGCCCACTTTTCTCTCGCTTCAGCATAATCAGCTGATCCATCATTTCAGCATGTAGATCCGTTTATGCTCCTAAATGCGTTTATGGTTTGTTTTTTTCCTTCCTCTTTTTGGTTGTGTCGTAAAAGAATCTGCGACGCTGTGGAAAATTCGGTTTTCTTTAGTTTGAACTCTAGTTAATTTTGCTATATTTTCTTGAATTTAGATGTAGGTTATTTCCGAGTGACGACAAATATTAAAACGCGTCAGATGTCACGGGCTTATTATTAATGATGCCTCTACCAAACGTAATTAAATTTCCCTGTGACAGCTTTTTTGTGAAAATTGTAACAGATGCTTCCAAAATTTTCACATTTAGTACAATGTTAGAGGACTGCGAAAAGAAAACGAGGTTGGGAAAAGTAATGGAACTATCTAGAAAGTTCTGATGGTTTCGCCTACTGTGCTCAGAATTTGCATGAGTTATGCTCTCAGTTTTGACGTCTGTTATTGCCCAAGTTTTAGATTAAGTCGTTATCGACTAGAGATAAACACATAGATCTGTGTCCGTTACGTTAAAAGGGTTATACAATTTGAGGATTTTGCCGCCCCAAATATTATTTGATCTAAAATTTTATCTTTTGATCTCAATTTTGGGCACATTTGGGACACGATGTTTATGATCGACGATAAAATGTTTGATCTTTATTATACATATTTCCTCCAAATCAAGATTTTATTTCTTTAGGAAAACTTTTTGGCACAGTTGAAGGAATTTTGATTTTCTCTACACATTTATCGTTTTTTAATGTGTTAGAATTTGGCTTAGCATAGTCTTCGAAACTGTCTTTCCTAGCGTCGGGCATATCAAATGTTTTACGATATCACTTGGCTCTCGCCCGCCATTAAAGTTACTGCACTTTCAAATATTCTCAAGGAAGCCGATATTTTCTGGAATTTATATGAAAGTTTAATAATTAAAAGAGGTTTATTGCTTTTGTTGAACACCTTGAACTTTGTTGGCGTTTCATGACATCACATAAGAAAATTGTTATTACTTGCTTAGACGGAAATTACTTCTGAAAGTCTACAAGAGACGCTTCAGTTGCGGCTGTAGGGATGAGTCTTCAACTTTTTGTCGAAAAGATAACAAGACATTCGCATACCAAAGTAATTGTTAGCAGGGTTCTGAAATGATACAAACATACCTGTTATGCTTTATCTGAGCATAATAATAAATATACATATTAGATGTAAAGGACTTTGGGCAACATTGTGATATTATAGACGTTTTCACCATGTTGATCTTAATTTTAATTAAATATTTGAAAATAAGATAACTTAGGGATTAAATTCCAATACTTTACGAATAAAGAGCTGATACAGCGCTACCTACGATGGAAATGGTAAAAGTTTCTACAAAGTAATTAATCTCTTAACTTTGATGATTCCTAATTTGGACAATCCTTCACTCAGGCTCAGTTTGATTGCTTCTTCAACTATTTCAGAATATAATACAGACATTATTTATAAAACCGATGCTAAGTTATCTTAAGGAGAAAACAATTGCATATAAAAGTGATTATAATAAATACTCATGATGAAGATTATTTTTTACTCTGTTCTACTCGTGCATTACGATATACTTTCTTACATTGATCATATTTATAGTGTCTATCAATCGTATAAAAAACATTTCGTTCAAACCCTATCCGACCGAATTCTTCATAAAATAGTCACGGTGGTGAAATAAATAATCCTTTGTGCATGAAATCCCGAGAGGTTTACCGCAAAGCGGCGCGGCTTTACGTTGTACCCTTACAAAACATTGTTTTTCGTCAGTTATTTATGTTTTTATACAACAACATGCTCTCGTCCTCCCTTTGTCACACAAACACATTAATAAATCTCTACAATTGACTTGGTTAGCCCTACTATTCCCTCCGGAGTAATCTAACGGAGATAATTTGTTTTTGTTCGCGTATTGGGTTAGCCAATTAAACCATTCGAATGTGAGATTAAACTGGGGAACATTAATCTTAGTTGTGCAGGTATAAAAAGTATGAAAGTCATAAAAAGCGCTAATAAATTTTGACACCCTCTTGCCTTTGGGAGATATTATACCGGTCATTCCGGGGATTTCCCTGATTTATTCCTTAAACGATAATGAGCTCGGAGTTTCCGATGAAGGCAAGGGAGTTTGCATTGACTGATTTTTGCAATCAAAAGAAACGTTATCCATTTCTTACTGAGACCTCCTGATCTTAGGACAAAATGTGGTCATTAAGCAACGTGGGATGACGAAGTGGTAAAATTATATTAGTTTAAATAGCTTGCTTATTATCTTCTTCCGATCGCCTCAATGTTTTAGCTATACATATTAAATCAAATCAAATCATTTATTGCATTACATGTGTGGTTTGACAGTTGGTACATCACATGCACCCTGTAAGGGTATAGCAAAATTATGTATATTGCTTTACTGTTAATACATAAATATACTTCAATATTGTCACAAGAAGCCTATTTTACCAGATCCAATAAACTTATGCTAAGCTAGTTTTCTTCCCGCAAAATGATTACATGTATGTTTGGGACAGCTCATGTATTTTATATCTGAACTAAATTGGGGGCGATATTTCTATGCTATTATTTTCTGAATATAATAGATTCCTCAATCTCACATACCTATTGCAA